GATCGGCTGCCACCCCTCCCCGGCCTTCTCTTCTTCCTGCCCTCGCAAAGCACTTCTCCAGTACCTAGGCCAAGTTCCGCGTCGAGGAGAAGACCACCCGGGGTTTGGCTGCACCCCAGAATGGGAGCCATGCAAGACTCAGGAGACTCGAGAGTTACCTGCCCACTTTCTTGGAAGAAGACGCGCTGTAGGACTTGGTCTGGACAAAGGTGTTGCCGTCCTCTGGAAATGGGCAGGAAGAGAGAAAGAGAGAGGAAATGGCCTCAGGTCCAACAGAGGTTTCTGAGCACAACTCAAAATGCCAGCAACCATTGTGATTCCCCAAACCAGGGATGGGCAACCTTGGCTCAACCCCCAAAGCAGCCCCAGCATGTTTTTGGTGAGCTTAGGGGAAATCAAGCGTCAACAATGTCTGCAGGGGCTCATGGTACCCTCTGCATCTCCTAAGACTTTCCCCAAAGGGTTGAAGACGCTGGTCCTGTCCACTCCTATTGTCCCCAGAAGTGAGAAGAAAGGAAAAGTCACGCCCCAGCTACAGGGAGACTCACCCCCTGCCCAAATGGCTAAGATCTCTTAAGGGGCCCCTCGCTCTGTACAAAGCTGCCCTCGATCCAAAGGAAGATCGGTAGTGTAGAACAAGAGAAGCTACCTTCCCTAAATCACATCCTGAACAATATAATGCTGAGCCTCACGGCATTCCAGCTGCACCTCCAAAATCATTTAAAAAATCCTGGCCAGCCTTTGCCAAACACAGAGTGTGTCATGTCAAACTTTCCCGAACCTGGTGCCCTCCACCGTTGCTGGAGCGGTGATTCCCAGAATCCCCTTTGCTGGCTAGAGGAAGTCCTAACACATCTGGAGGCAACCAGGTTGGGGAGTGCTATTCTGGGGTGATGATTCACCAGGCTGCAAAACTTCCATCTTACCTGCATGTCATGAATGAAATAACAGGGCTACTTAAAAGAATGTTCTTATCCCACCTGGCAGACGCTTCTGTTCACTTATTACCCAGAAAAACACATCTCTAACTCTGTTCACCTTGATATGCCTCTAGCCTAGCTCAGCCAGCTTTAACTGGGTTGGGCCACACACACACACACACCATCTCTTGCAAGAGAAAAGACTTACTTTCCGATCTCTTCGTGTAGCTGGTCTCCATGGTCAGCGTGCGAGATGCTTTGCTGCCATCACCTGGGACAGAAGAAACCAGGTCGGGAGATGAAACGGGACTGGTCATGCCGGACAGGGTGGCTGCAGCATGTGAAGTCTGAAGCTTCAAGAAACTGGGCAATTAGGGAAGGAAGTTCTACCCTATCCTGAATTTCCTGCATTCAGGTTAGCGAGATGTCCCGATTCTAACGCGATGAGAAAACTTTGCCTGATTTATTTTCTCTGTACCGCGCATAATCTTGAACCCCTTATTTCTAAACTCAAAAGCCTAAATGCTGGTGCTTCTTCTTGCAAGGAAGTCACTCCAAAGCGGGGACTCCGATCCAGGAGCAAGGATTTCAGATGAAAACCCACCCCATCTCGCCTGCTTTAGCCCAACCGGCAAACGCTTGTCACATTCTCAAGATTGTGGCCAGGAGCGCCTTTTTAAAAACCTGGTTAGATTCCCACGGGCTGCCAGCAGCCTGGAGGTGACAGAAGACATGAGGAGAGGAGGCATGGGCCAAACTTTCAGCCTGCTTTGGGGGCAGTTTTTCCTTAAACTCAGAATACAAGGGAAGGTGCCTTGGGTCACGCTCCCCTCTGGAGATACATGAATGATGTGAAGATGGCTGAGAAGAGAGCAAGGGAGGAGGTTGGGGAGCAGCCGGGCCACATGCAAGGAGAAGGACCGGCCAACTCGCAGGGCAGAAAGGAGGAGGGGGCCTCTTGAGCCCCAGAGCGGAAGCAGCCCACCTCTTGCACGGCCACTTCCCCAGGAAAGCAGCCCTCAGGAGCAAAGGGGATGGGGGTCGATGCTGCCCCCCGACCACGAGCCCACCCCCTTACTGGACTGAACGAGGCGCTGGGTCTTGGTGACCGTGCTGATGGCCGAGCCGTCGGCCGACGTCTTGCTCTGCCGAGAGGTGGTCTCCGTGGTGTGAGAGGCCGCCTTCGCCTTCGCCTCCTGCAGCCGCTGGTTCCGCTCCTTCTCCCGCTGGTCTGCAGGGGGGAAAGCGGGGAGGAAAGGAACTGCTCAGCAACCAGGGCTTATTTGGAACTGGGAAGACTGGAGTTCCCCCCTTTTCTCCGGGGAATGCCAGGCAGACTTACTTCACGCCCCTCCTCGGTGCCACCTTCATAACCGCCCTGCAAGGCGGGCCCAAGACGGCCTAGCAAGCTTTGTGGCCGAGCTAGAGGTTCCTTTCATCTCGGGGGGGTGGGACGGAAGGATTCAAGAGACCCCATTCCTCTCTCCAACCCCACCTAGATTGGGCTAATGCATCTGTCTGTTATAAAGCCAATATTTATATTTATTCAGGCATCTTTCCTGCACAAGAACACCCTGCGAGGTAGCCTGGGCTGAGAGGGAGGGTGGCCCAGGGTCCCCCGGGGAGCCTCTGTGGCCGAGGAGGGCCAGAGCCTGGCCCTTCTGGCTCCCAGGCCAGCACCCTCCCCACGCCGCCACCCTGGCTTTCGCACAGATCAGGGTTTCTTCGAAAAACAAGTTCAGAAGACACAACCCCTCATGTTTTGCCTCCACGTTGCCTCGTTCTTGGAGAAGGACAGAGGTCTTCTGGCCAAGCGCCCTGGCGGTCGCTGGCCCAGGAAAGACAACAAGGCCTGCTCCGAGTGGCACACCAGAGGGGCAAATCGGAGCTGGTCCCCGCATGGAAATGCACAAACCACCATCTCCCAATAAAACTCCAGTCCAGGGTCCTGGAGGGCCGATTCCGTCCCCCCTGCTCTGAGCACTGACCCCTCTGGACAGAGTGCCGCAGTTTATGGGGGTTTCATGGATTACAGGGCCGGGCTCAGTCATACCGAAGCATGCTTTACTTCACCGTGGTTTACTGGATTAAGAATTTGCAGGATTCACACAACACAGTATGGTTTGAACCCCGGTTTCTATGTACAGCAGCTAGATTTAGGCAGAAAGAGAAGCTGAAAGCCACACATTCCTCTAGCCAAATCACAGCTGGTAGTTTGTGTATCAGCGTCTTGTGGGAACTCGGCCACGGTCTTTGTGCATGGCGTCAAGCAAGCCGTCATTTTTGGAGGTAATAAGCTTGCTGGGGCAAAACGTGTCACGGGTACCCAGGAAATACGGCGTCAATGAGGTTGAGGGTCTCTTCCTTCTCCTCTTGACCGCCCAAGCCTTGCATCTCAGCCCTTCCTGCTTTGGAGATGGACCCCCCGGCAGCCTTTGGACCCCACCAGAGTCCCCCAAAAAGCCCACTGGCCCAACCCCAACCTGGTACCTCGCTTCCGCTGGCGCAGGTCCCGCATGGCTGCCCGGATCAGCCGTCGCTCCTCAAAATCTCTGGTCTGGTCCAGCTGCAGAGACAGACCCGGGGGTGAGAGGCGATACCGATGCCCCCCCCGACAATTCTCCATTCTGCAATTTCCTCTGCCTCCCCCAAAGGACAAAAATTACATGGAGTCTTCTACACGGCTGCAAGTGAATTGCTCCCAAATTGCTAACAACCGCTATAAAGAGGTAGACTGCCTCAGAACATGCAGGTTTCACTTAGCCCCTCCCGCTTTACCCACCGATGAACTACCCTAAACGTGTCTTCCAAGCCATCTACCCCAACCACTTCAACACACTGGGCAGCGTCAGTGGTGGTGGTGGGGCTCTATTAGCTTCTTCTCAGTTGGGTGACAGACTGCACCCCGCATCACCCTACCCTCTAATGCTGCCGACAGGTGCCTTGAATATTATGGGAAGGAAAGAAAACCCCTGTCCTCCTCCTCTTTCTCTACCCTGTGCAGAGTTGTATAAGCCACAATCAAAAACGCCGCCATCAGCCTCCTTTTTCCCAAGCCAAAAGCCGTGAGTTGTGGCCCTTTTCAGCCCCCAAATCTCTTCCTTGGCCCATTTCCACCCCCCGCCCCGCCATTAATACTGGGCTGTCTGTAAAGGAAGCAAAGCCATCCTGGCGGGACTCTACCAGGACAGTCACCGCCCTGCCCAACTGGCTCTTCCGACGTTTGCTCCGGAAATGTCTCCCCACACAAACTCAGACGCCTGGCAAGGAACTCTGGGCGAGGATCCCACCAGCGTGGGGGGCACGCCTCTGCCCGGGGGAAAATGCATGTTAGGCAGCCAGCGGCTCCATACCATCTTATCCAAGACGTCTTCTTCCTCGATTTTGCTCAGCTCCTCGGCGCTCAGCCGGTCTCGCTGCTGCGCTTCTTGTACCTGGACCTTCTGCTTCTCCATCCCGTTCGGCAAGGCCACCTTGGGCTGTGTGGGCAGTTCAGCATCCATCTGAAAAGACAGGGCAGCTCCGTAAGGCTGGGCGGGCTGCTCGGCTCCCACCCTCGGCCTTTGGGTGGGACATCCGGCGGCAACCACGCGTCGTCGACAGGTAAGTCAAAACCGGTGGAAGGAGGCTCCCGCCCGTCCGGCGGGGCAAAGGGACGCATCGAAGGAAGCTGGGCAGACAAAAGATCCCCAGTCTTCTGGATGGCTTAGCGCAACCTTTTTAGCATTTAAACTTCTCTCTCGGACCCCAAACCAGCCACGTGATTTCCATTTATAGTTCATCTTCCTCTTGGAATCGCCTAAGGCCGTGGTTCTTAAACTGTTTGACCCAATTCCCCCTTTCCCTTGTCTCAAATAATTAATTACACCCACCCAAAAAAAAGACTGTGTTGTTTTACACAAGCACCTCAGCCGTCCCAAACTGCATCTTCAACTCGCAAACAAGCCATTACAAATTGCCCCATTATCCCCAAGGCAGGCTCGACTTACCCCTTCCTTTGTATAATTACCCCCAGTTTAAGAACCACCGGTTTAAGGATACCTAAACTGTCAAAAGGGCCCACAGCAAAGTGGGACAAGGTATGGCAAGCCCCCTCCCACAGCGATGCCGCTAAACAGGTTGCCACTGCAGGGCGTGGCTGGAGAGCACATCTTGTTCCTTGCTTGCCGGCAGAAGACTGGTTTTCTCTTGGTTATGGCCAATCACCAGCTGAGAGAAATGAGCGACTAAAGTACCCATTTTTAAATTGTATGATGTCATCTTCTGCTCGGATTAAAAAAAAAAAATTTGGGGAGTAATGTTATATCAGTTTGCGTCACCGGCTGATTAGTGCAGCAGGTCATCTTGGTCAAAGGGTCAGGAAGGACCTGCCCAGCACCCCTCAAGTCTAGCGTTCTTTTGTGAGAAATCTAGCAACCGGCATCAAAGACATACCAAAAGTTGAAGCAAAGGATGGGAAATGGTGTATATGCTGTAAGTAAAGGGACTAGAAGCCAACGGAGGCACGTGCAGAAAGTTTGCAAAGCCTAACAAACACATACGAGTTGCATAAACGGTCTGCAATCAGGAGAGCTACAAACTTGCGCCACTAAGACCCCCATATCGTGCCAACTTCCAGATTGCAAACCAAAGATAGCCACATTCTGCACTGAGAAATGCTAATTTCTACTGCGAGGGACAGGTGCAGGGTTTTGCTTATTGCTCAAAACAGTCTACCTTTTTAAATTGGCGTGCTTCGTTTTTGCCAAATGTGGTGATCTCTGGAGGAAAACCCAATGTAAAAATACCTCTGCTTCCAAAGTTCACCTTCCAACACATCCGTGGAACTTCAGTGTTAAAAATACAGTTAAAAAGCTAATTGTTAAGAAGGCGAATTCCACATATCGCGCCACCCTCTGCAAGGTGTCTGGCATTTCAACAAGCAGACTGTGTACGTCCAGGGACTGACTGTGCTTCAGTTAAAGGAAAACTGTAACCCAAAGCATCCTGTGCTGGGATTTTTCAGGAAGATTAAAGGACTTAGTTGAAAGCGGCTTTGTGATCAGGATTCAGAGCACTGGCGACTCTGGGCAGCCCAAAAGGGCGATGCCAGTTCTGTGTCAGCACAATCCTCGCACGACGCAAGGCAGGATGTCAGCCAGGTCCAAAATACACCACAAAGGCCGCTGCAGTTGAGATGACCAGCCAAAAGCGCCAAGCGAAAGAGGCAGAACGTCCTCAGATGCCTGGCACCGCGCCTTCCCCAGCTGCTCAGCACGGTGGCACGGCTTATTATAGGTCAGGTATTAAGTGTCGCCCCCAAACAAGACCTCTTTGCAGCTTCTAACAAGTTACTCCCGGCTTCCTTCGATGCATTAAGCAGAAAAAGTGACGAAGTGCACCAAGTCCTCCTTTTCATTATTCTTAAGAATAAGCCCTCTACATTTCCGCAGTCTGATCGCTTTGCTTCACTTCTCCAGCCATTTTTGCCGTGTTGGACCACAACACCCATAATGCTGGCTGAGGATCAGGATTACAGATCAACCATCTGGAATATCCTGCGCTGGGGAAGACTGTGCTTACTAGCTGGGGGAAAGCTGAAGGGCTTGAACTTGGGGAACGTGGTCTAATGGGCTGGGGAGGATGAAAACTGTAGTCCAGTGGAATGGACTCAAAGCGGCCTGGGTGGGGGGTCGTCCTTCAAATGGGGAGACAGGAACTCTAAATGGGATTAAAATTCATCCAACTCCCTACATAGTGACTGTTATAGTTCTTACACTGTATGTTGTAGATCAGGGTTCCTCAACCTTGGGGACTTGAAGATGTGTGGACTTCAACTCCCAGAATTCCCCAGCCAGCATG